CCTCGCGCTCGCTGACGAGATCGAGTTTGGTACCGACGACGACAATTGGGACGTCCTGGGCGAATCATCAGGAGAAGGTGACAAATCGGGGTAAGGTACTGACTCGATCTTCGCCTTTGATTCGGTATATTTGCTTCCGTAGATTGTCGACTTCTCGCAGACTGGCTTCATTCGTTAGACTGAAAAGTAACATGAGAAATCTGTGTAACGCATGAGCCGACGCACTAGCCTGAAAACGAGAACAAAGCCCCGCCCCGACTGTAATCGTAGATGAGAAAGTGGCCAACGTGAGGGACTAGAATGTACCTTGATATACACCTCGTTGAGCGACGTAAATTGTTCGGCTCCTGCGGTATCCAGAACTTCGAGCTACCGGTAAAACGTGTCAGACGTCGAGTGCTGGCCGAAGGACTCTTGTAAAGGAATGAGACATACCGACGATACTTGCCCGTCGACGGTGATCGTTCTCCGGTACTCCTCTGCCATTTGCCGGTCAGCCAAAGTAAGATCTGCGTAGAAACAACCGTGCCTTCTATTGTGGGGTCATAATTCTCCACAAAGACGTCCTTGATGAAACGGACTGCGCCAAGTATTAGTCTTCAAGCTTCTTGGAAGTCAAGGACGAATTACCTGTGAGCGCTGACTTGCCGACACCTCCAGCTAAGCGTGATTCGAGGGTCAGTGATGCAACCTGTGATGGGAAAGGACACGGACCTCCGAGGACGACAATGTTGAACTGCTGCATACTGATGGGGGGAGAGGAGTGGAGAAACAGGATAGCTGTCTGCCGTGAGAGCCAACATTTTTGACGCGGTGTGCACGCATGCCTGACCGTGACAGGACAACAATAACTTAGTTGCCGACGTCCATCATCAATGGTCCGCCCAAGGACATTTTTCGACTTTACTGTCGACAGTCAACCACTTGGAAGGTCTGTTTCTAGTTTTTACTATAAATTCTATTCTCAAGCCCGTCAAGAGTGATATTTGAGCTCTTCGATGACACAGTGCCGAAAACTGCAGAAAAGTAAGTTGGCCCGCCGTACATCTACTCGAGCAATCAATATTCATCAATTTGTGTAGTTTTCGTGCACTATGTACAGGTGAACGAGGGATTTCCCCGTCAAGCCAACACCCTCTATACTACAAGAACAGTAGCATTCACCGGTCGATACAGGATTTCATGATCCAAGGGGGAGGTACGGCTCCCACTCATTTACACGTGTTCAGCAAGTATCAAAAACGCGCAGATTTTACAAAGTTCAATGGCACCGGCGGCGAGTCCATCTACGGCGGTTCCTTTGCAGACGAAGACCTCGAACGACCATTGGACGCAGAGGCACTTTTGTGTATGGCGAACAAGGGACCAAATACCAACAACTCGCAGTTCTTTATCACACTCCGCGAGTGTCCGCATCTAAATGGTATATTTCTCTTTGCTTTACCCTGTCGCTGGAGCATTCACCTCTGTTCAAACAGGCAAACATGTCGTGTTCGGTCGCGTCCTTCGCGGATTTGACATTGTGCAGAAAATTTCAACGATGCCCGTTGATGGGAAGAGCCGTCCACTTACACCTGTAGTCATCTCGAATTGCGGGGAGCTCGAGTTGCGCAAGCCTCCAGGTTCGTACTTCGGTAAACTTGACTCCAGCCATTTACAGTCGCCCCACCTTTAGTTAATACAGTAGAAGAACCCTCAAAGTTGGAAAAACGATCTCATAGACGGTCGAGGTCGAGGTCCCGCTCTGAATCTCGCAGTCCCGGCCCGGAGAGGCGACGCCATCGCAAGAAGAAAAAGTCGAAACGTAAAAACTCACGCTCGCGCTCGCCTGAGCAGCACTCTCCTTCTCCAAAGCCTGACGCGCCAAGAGAAGAGACAGAGGAAGAGTATGATGCGAGGTTGGAACGCGAAGAGAAAGAGAGGTTGGAAGAGTCAAGGAGGCAGGAACTACAAAGGATCAAGGAGAAGTATGAGAAGGAGCTCGCTAGTAATAGTGGGGGTGTGAGGTTCAAAGGTGTGTCCTTATCCTTCGCTTCGTGTTTTGTAGCGTGCTGACGGTCTTTTCGAAACTCAAGGGAGAGGAAGGATGAAGTTTTTGGATCCCGAGTTGGTTCGTCGACACCAGGATTCGCGATAAAATCATGGAGTTGTACCTACGGTCAACTAGATAAAGTTGTACAGCATGACACCTTAGACATACTGATGGGGTTTGTAGGGAACAGCCCCATACATGTCAATACACCTGTTAATGAACAGTACTGCCTTTCATTGTGTTGGTCATGACTTGGAGTCTCTGTTTTATGTTCCCATATTCATTGTCACTCAAATTGATAATTTCGGCAAGCCTGAAAGTCTCAAGTTCCACACAGCCAATCTTCCGAAACGTGTTTCCAGTTTGCGGTTTTTACAATATCCTGACTTTGATACCCTTGGAGAAATCGGCTCAATTCACTTCTACTTCGAAAAACAAATCTCGATCCATGTCAAACCAATCATTAAACCCTTGGTGTCGGTTTTGAAAACCATCTGGGAAGCATGATATCCTGCGTCTAAAACTGCAGAAGACCTACCAGAGGATTGTTGTGATGCCTTTATCGAACCCATCAATGACGCCATCCTTGACACAGCAAAGACTGCGGGGCAGGCTGCGGATCCCAGTGGACAGGCTAAGGCTAGTGTGATTGACACCCAAGTGATCACGTTCCACTAATCTCAAGCATGAGGTCCAGACACGCTCAAGACACTCCGAATTCCTCTTTTTCTTTATACCTATACTCAATTATCCATACTGACATTGCATTCTTCGTACATGCCTTTCACACTTATCTTTGTCGAGTCACGGATACTCGCTTATCTGGATGTGATAGTATTATTCTCTGGAAAAGATGTTGTCACACAGACTCAGATGCAATCTGATCTACAGCCGTCCACAGTGGAAAAACGTTCACAACGGTGTCATCGTCGCAAGTCCAGGAACTCAAAAAATCTGCTTGCATCCTTGCAAATGAATTCCTCGCGTTAAGCGTAGAATAATCCAAATGCAAGAATAGCTAAACCTCTACCTCTGCAACTTTCTCCGCGATTTTATCGACTTCGTCCTTCTTCTCCTCCTTAGCTTGAATTTCTTCTCTCTTAGCAGCGGCAGCGTTCGCGAAGCTGAGTGTCGGCCTCACAGTCGGAGCTAACGACCTGGGGGCAGTTTTTGGTGATGCCATATTGGCGGAGCCAGCAGGACCATTAGCACTTGCGCTAGGTGGGGTGCGAGTACCAGTAAGGGGCGCCCTCTCAGAGGCCTGACGCGAATTCGTGCGGGACATGGAGATACGATCTTTGACGGTCTCCCGTTCTTTTTCCAACCGTTCAGTAACCTCCTTGTCTTTATTTGCGACGTCCACAGGGCGTGCAGCGCCAAAGGGATTGGCACGGGTATTGGAAGAGGTGGGGGTTGGTCCCATTTTGGGAGAAGAAAGGGGAGTTTGAGCAGCGGATGGCGTACCGGATCGAGGAAGGAGCTCTAGTTTCCTGCGACTCAGTTGAGGCGTTGGTGGCGTTGAGCTCGCCGCTAAGAAAACATTAGCGTGTGTTTAGTCGGAAACATAAAGAACATACGTGAGGTACTAGACTTTCGGGCTCTCCAGTCGGCCTCATCCGAAGGCAAATCTTTCGGCGGGCCCATATCTCCTTTGCCACGAAGACTTCCAAACCTCTCTTCTGGAGCGTTTGGTGCCGACGTAAGCTTGCTGCCACGAATCCATGTTTCAGCCTGGTCTGCAGGACTGGGCTGGCCTTCTGGTGTGGAAAATCCTGATCTGCGTCGGGGAGGCGGCAGATCTTCAGATACGGCGGGTCGAGAAGGGCGGTTAGAGCGCCATTCACTGACACCCTCAGCTACGCTAGGAAGACGCTCACGCTCTCCAGATGAAGGACCGTCATAGCGACGGCGGGAGTCGCGAGGCAGATCCGGGAGCGGGCCTTCGCGTCTCCAAGGACTATCGAATTTGGAGTCATCTTCAATGTTACCTCCACCACCACGATCTCCAAATCCACTGCGTTCCTTGGCTAGGAGAACAAATGAGAACTGGCGGGCGATTGTACTTGTATAAGGTACTCACGAGGTTCTGCGACACTGACGCGAATGGTTCTGCCAGAGAAATTCTGCATAACGCATAAGGCGTTGAGAGACAGAAGCATTGAGACATACTCACCGAGCCACTTTTAGCAATTCCCTCTTTTAATCCCTCCAGATCTTCAAATTCTACATAGCCGAAACCCTTTGGTTTATCTTCACGATCCCTGATAATTTTTACCGACTTTGCCTGTGCCACGTCAAAGACGGTCGAAGAGTAGATAGAGAAAGAGACGCACTTTCAAAGGAGCAAAAAACTCCTCTAGCTCAGATTCAGTAAGATCGAATGCAAGATTGCCAACAAAAGCGGTATAGGGAGGACTTGTGGGTAACGGGATATCATCCCTAGGCGGGGCGGCAGCCCTGTCGGCTAAAGGCGTGTCAAGAGGTCAAGTCATTGGAGAACTAGTATCAACTCACGTCGGGTAGACAGATAGTCATCCCGTCGGCCGTAACGATCGCCAGGACGTCCTTGATCGTCCTCATTACGTGGGGCGGCTATTGCTCATTTTGAGACTGAGACCCAAATGCAAATCATTGCCACCTACGAGCATTGGGGAGCGAGTCCATCTCGTCCGCCCATGAGCCCAGCGCTGCAAGAACCCCGGGTTCAGTGGAGCTGGGCACAGCACACGATCAGATACTCACCACTGTCCCCAAGGAACTCGTTCAAGGTGATTTTCTTTGCTTTCTTTGGAGCTGCATGGAAAACGATTTAGTTGAACAACGAGGTGATAAAATTCAAAGGTGACCGTACGCATTTGTGATGTGCTTGAAATTTCGTCCAACTGCAATTTGTCAGTCCCTGACACCGCGGAATGTTCCGGGCAGGCTCTACCACGATACAATTGTCCAAGAGCCTTCGTTCTCCAACGCCTTCTTGGCTCAGTTGGCTAGAGCGCAGGTCTCATAGAAATATGACACGTTGATTATCGTGCAATCCTGAGGTCGCAAGTTCGAGCCTTGCAGAGGGCAGAATTTTTATTCTTCCCTTATCTGCAAGGATGTCATCCTATCGAAGTTGGTTTTAGTTGATACTAATC